TTGAGCACCACTCACCCTGTTTCCCTATCCTCATTATACCACTTCTGGAGGAAACCTACTCTTAGATAATGGTTAGTTATTTGCCCTTCCAACTTCATGCAAACAAACAGAAAAGCAAAGCACAACACAAAACAAACAAAACCCTGAAAAAACATAGCTAATGATGTAGGGTACTGTTTCAGCATAAATAATACAGGAAAGGGGTTTCACTATTATTGAAATAAATTTTAAAATTCTAAATAAAATATTAAATTTCATACACAAATCATTTAAAAATTCCTTGCCAAGAAGAGAATAAAATACCTACTAAGAAGCTAAGTTATCTAGCTGGTTTTGCTCAGTGGGTAGAGCATCAGCCTGCAGACTGCAGGGTCTTTAGTTTGATTCCCAGTCAAGGGCATATGCCCGGGTTATGGGCTCAATCCCCAGTGGGGGATGTGCAGGAGGCAGCAATCACTGATACTCTCTCATCACTGATGTTTCTATCTCTCTCTCCCTCTCCCTTCCTCTCTGAACTCAATAAAAATATATTTAAATTCATTATAGAAGGTCACCTATTGTTAATGGCACTCACATTCATTCACAGTTCTCTTAAAGTTCCTATTTCAACAGGGCTTCAGCTATTGGTTACTTAGCATGAAATCACTAAAGCCTGTTTTGTTATGTGCTATCACTGCTTTTATGATATAAATCAGATAAAATGCTTTAGAAGACTTGATTTTATCTGTAATTTCCCCCATCCCCCAAAGAGAATATCACATATAAAGAATTACTGGATCACATTATTCTTAATTAATGGCTAAAACAGGTAAATATCAAGCATGTTTTAAAAACAGTTACCTATACATATATCCTGAGAACTATACTACTGGAAATATGCATAATTTAAAACCCCCTTTCCTTTTGACAAAGTATTAGCCATTAATTTGCAAAAGGCATCTTTTTCAAGCACAGATCACATCAGCATTATTTATTAGTGGGAAATCCTACTTACCTGAAAAACCATGTATAAATCATTATACAACACACTGTACTATTATAACAATCAGAGGAGTTAAACATTTTTTATGTTTAATGGCCCTGGATAAGATATCTAAATCATAGAAGACTTAAAAACGTCAGTATCCTCCATTTTATAGAAGCCAAGAAATCAGATGGTGTGAAGCGGTTGATTTACAGAAATACACACAGCCAACAAAGGTTCTAGCAGGTCACAGCTTCAAGTTTTCACCCGCTTTCAGAGAGCATTTTCTGACAGTGGGAAAGATTAGAATGTGAAAGAAAAAAATGTATCAGATCCATCTCCTTCCACGTTTCCTTATATTCTTGTTCTCTCTTTACCCACATACTCTGATCTCAAAATATAATTTGTTCAATAAAACTAAAGGCCAGATTTAGTACAGGTTCTGTCTCACCTGATAAAATCAGCTAAACTCAAATAAGATGTAAAAAGGAAATAATAAAATGAGGGCAGTGTCAGTTCATCACTAAATAGACAGTACTGGCTTCTACTGGATATATTTGCCAAATAATAATCGAAGATCACTCTATTACCAAAATAATGTAAAACCTATGGTCAAATAGGAACATATGCTCTGTTAATTTATGAGCCCAATATCTTCAGGGATGTGTTATCAATGTATATGCTATATCCTGGTTGGGGAGAGGTGAAGGATAAGGTAGAAGAGCTGGCAAACAGGTAGTGGGAGTTTGAGGAGGCCTTCACCTCATAGGTTCCCAGGTCCTCAGTCAAGAAAGGGTACCGTACCTGAACAGTCAGATGCTATGTGCACCACTCCTGAAGAACCCCCAACCAAAAAGTTCCAGAACCTTCCCTGGCAAATTTCCATTGATTCTAGAAAGACCGCAGTAGAGGTTGAGGGGGAAGGAAGTTAGTTAGAGGCATCAGAACAGAACAGATGGTCTGGAATGAGGTACAACTTCCACCTGACTTAAAAATCAGGGCACCTCAACCCTGAGGAGCCAGGAGGAATCTGAACGTGCTTCCCGGGGTCCCACAGTAGAGACTGCTGCTGGGAACGACTCTTTTCTTAGTTTTTCAACCCTGCCCCTCAGATGCTTTCTTTTGCCTCCTTCCCCTACGTACAGAATGTAAACAGGAAGCTGTTTGTGTGAAATCTCACACAGGCACCGTTTACTCTAACAAGTAGGAAGGAACCAAGTTCTGAGAACACGTCTTCTAACCGAATGTCATCATGACCAGAAAAGACAGCATAAACTAGACAGCGAGGAAAACGAGGAGAAAGTAATGGAGGCTCACAAGTTTAAGCTCTGTGCTTTAAAAACACCTGAGAGAGAAAAACAGCTCTAAGAACTGCAGTTTGCACCATACAGCCCATGAACTAAAGGCCTTGACAATACAACCCTACAACGCTGAAGAATATAGCTCTCATGCTTCTTTCACACATCAGCCGAGGCTGAAAAATGCAGCGAGTCCTCATGGAAATTGCAGTGTTGGACTCTTGCTGTCGAGTCTCTAAATGGTCCTGTTTCTCTTCGCACGCCCACTGGTGAATGTCAAGCGCTCGTCCTCGAACTATCTAGATCCCATGCACCAACCTCCTTCCTGGAAATGAGCTCTAAGTTCAGACAAAAGGACACTGTCGTCACTCTGGTGTCAGCATGGGCTGCCAGAGCTTAAAAGGGGACCCAGAGTCTCCGTGTTCCTTGATTTCTCTCGGGTGGGCAACTTTCATTCCCCATCAAAATAGTAGGAGACAAATTCATCAGGAAGTGTGTCGCAATTTCATAGACCGACAGGTGGAGGCATGTTGCAATACATCTTTTATTACTGCCCCTGACAGCTACAGATTGTATGCTGAGTGTAACTGGGCTGATACATACATTCTGCAGGTGCACTGTGAGAGAAGAATTTTTGGACATTTTTCTAGCTATCACAGAAATAAAGGTATAGAAATAAATTTCCTGGTAGTCCAAGGAACGTTTCTCTCTACAGCTTCAAATACTCTCTCTAGTCACGTAAGCCTAACATGGGCATTTTAATCCTTGGCAAACTTATTTTAAAACACGGACAGGCTGGCCTGCATGAAAGGTCCTCTTCTCTGGGTTTAGAAAATGATTTGTAATCAGTGATTCTATAAATAGGGAATGTGACTTTCCTTACTAAAGCATCAGGCTTCAAAGGGGAAGATATTCATGACATACATAAATAGTTGGGATGATTAAATTTGATATTCTAAATCTGATTTCAGAGTTAAACAACTGGAATGGTACTATTCCCTTACAGCAGTGCTAACTAGCAAGCACCACAGCTTAGAGAAGCTCATTCTTCAGTAGCCAGTAACACTGACGTCACACTGAATTTGAGAAAAGAACCTTTCCAGCAGCACTCACACCTGGTAAGCACATTGTATAAATTAGTGCAGATAATATCAAAAGTAGAAGAGGGATGACCACAGGAATTAAACCACATGGCCTAACAATGACGATGTAAAAATATTTATATTATATCATATAGGGGAATCAATATAATTTTTATGTACTTAATTACAGTCATCCAATATGCCTTAAAGTTTAACAACAAGTTCTCCGATTTCAAACTGAAGTCTAGGTGACATACTATACTGGCATTTAATTGTATAGCTTTCATTAATCTCAGTGAGAAGCACAGACCCCAACCAACCTTGGAAAATCCTTTAAAAGCTTGCCTTAGAACCCCATGACTTCACCTTGTGGAGCCTGGACAATGACCAGGACCAAGTGCATGGCTAATGGACTGGATTGACAGAAAGCTACAAACCAGCTAAAACAACGTGGCCACTGTTTCATCGGAAATGAAATTACTCTATGCCACAGAACCGAGCTCCTGGCCCCACAAGGTAAAGAATCTTCTAAAGTGCATCAGGATCATACATGTGTGAAGATTAATTTATGGGTCAATCTGACTGGGCTGCAGTCACACTCATCACACTTTTAATATATTTATTATATTAAATACATACAAACACACTTAGAAGTTACAAAGACAATATTGAGGCCTGGCTCCCCAAAATGATACTTCCCTTGAGCACATAAGGGTAACAAGGTGACCACTAGACTAACCCTGGCCCCGGTTATCTGGTTGATCTCCGTTTCAAAAACCCTTCCATGAAAACTGATTCTCTTGTAAAATATCCTGCTAGAAACAGGCTCCTGAGACACATTCACCTGGTCCTCTGAGTAATCCCCAAGGGTTCCCTGAGAGGACCAAGGATACAGGAGACAGACAAGTAGATGGGTGCGCATGCATACACACACACACAAACACACATACACACACACACGTATGTTCATTCCAAACCATGGTTAAGAAACAGTGTAAGTCACAGCCCTTCTTCTGTGTGACTTTTGGTACTGCTGTACGAAACACCTGCCAGATCACAGATGCCACTGTCAGGGCAGATTAGTGAATGCCATGTTCTTTAGTTAAGCACAAAGAAAAAGAAGTAATAAAGGGATTCAAATGTGCTAATTGTAACAGGAAAGAATAGGTGAATTTGCATTTTATGTTCCCTGGCCCCATATATTTCTCATTTAATTAAAAGAATTTGAGGAGATGAGTCTACATTTACCTGGCTACTATTTAGGATAGGGGTGTCGAACTCAATCAGAGAAGGGGCCAAAATCTAAAATCCAGCCTAAATCGCGGGCCGAATGGTTTACTGAACAGTCATAAACTGTCATTGTGATGGAAACGCAGCGGAGTGCAGTGATGACAGCGCGGTGCGGGCCACATTGCAAGGCCTGGCGGGACGGATTTGGCCCGCGGGCCTTGTGTTTGACACATGTGATTTAGGATGATGAAGGCTAAGGAACCTCCTAGAAAACAATATTTATTTGTGGTGGGAAAACAACACACCTGAGTGAAATAATAAATGGAAGAGTTACTACCAAAGGCAGAAGAAAGATTCCCGGAAGGTTCAGCTGTTCAGCTATACTAAAAAGTAAACTGGGGACACGCACCCCAGGAACTCACTTACCACGATATCCTCAGGGAACGTGTCTCTGCTGAAGGAGCCATCATCAAACATGACCTCGTAGAAGGTCTGCGACGTCACGGCGATCACTCTGCAGCTGTAGTACCGGGTGTTCCGGTGCTTCGTGATGACGGTCTGCCCCACAGAGATGCCCCTCTCGCCAGCCTTCAACTTCTAACGAGGGGCGGAGGCAGACAAGAGAAAAGAAAGAGGAAAAAGAGAAAAGGACAGAAAATAAAAGGTATTTTTTTTTAAAACCAGTAATTGGCTTAGTAATATCATTTTTTATTTTTTAACTTTTTATTGGGGAATACTCTCAGACTTAAAAGTTGCAAGGATATGAAGGTACAAGAGCACCCATATACTCTTTGACCCTTTATCTATTCCTATTAGCATTTTATAATTTCCTTTATTTGCATATTATACTTCTACTTTATATATGGGTATTTTTAAGTATTATATACAAATTGTTTGTGTGTGTGCGTGTGTATATGTGTGGGGGGGGGGGGGGGCGTGCACACACATACTAGCCCCTCCCCTCACCACCAGCCATTAGCGCTTTACTGGGCTTTTATTCTTAAATACATCAGTGTGTGTTTTCTAAGAAGAGGTATTCTCCTTTACATAACCACAGTTATATAACAGTTACAGTTACTAACGTTAGTAAAGTTAACAGCAACATGTCTGATTCTCTACAATGTATCTTCCAATATTGTCAACTGAGCCAATGATGACGCAGGGTCCCCAAGCCCCTGGTCCCACACTCCAGTGCAGGACAGTCAAAGGTCAGGTGCTACATGTAGTCGCCACAGCTCCTGAGCCTCCCTCAATCTGGAACATTTCCCCAACCTTCCTTTGTCCTTATGATAGTGATACTTTGGAAGGATACACTCCTCCCTCCCCCTGCTTTGTGAATAGAACATTTATCTGAGGTTTCCTCATGATCAGATCCAGGCTGTACGTTCTGGGCCAGAACCCCACACAGGTCATGCTGAGTTCCACTCAGGATATCACATCTGGAAGCACATGCTGCTTGTCTGCGTCTCCATGGGGATGTGAATTTTTATCATGGTCAAAAGTATGGTCCAGTTTCTCTACTTCATAATCACTCTTTTCTTTTATTACTAATAAACAATCTGTGGCAGAACTTAAGCACCACACATACATCCTACACACTTATGCTTGGATTTAACATCACGGATGAGCCTTGCCCGATCCAGCCTTTACTATGAGGATGATTTCACTATATTTGTTCCTTTGTGCCTGTTATTTTAACACTGGATTTAGCATCTTATGGAGACAGTGGTTTGGATCTGAATTCTAAGCTCTGCTTCTTTAGCTATATGATCTTGGGGATGTTACTTAGCCTTCCTAGGCCTCAGTTTGCTTATCTACAATACAAAAAGGGGATATTTATGTGGAAGGTCTGCTGTAAAATAGGATAAAGTACATAAAATACGTAGACTCAGCAAATGTGAAATAGCTTCTTCATTTGGGGAAATTAAGAACATACCGGAGACCCGGTCAATAAACTACTTCTCCCTCCTTACTCAGTAATCGGTGTGCATGCCTGTGCAGCACCCTGATTTTACATGACAACGCTTAATCCAGCTTCAAATCACCACACACACTCCCGATTCTAACCCTTGTCATAGCACACAGCTATGGTCCTGAGGAAGGAAGGCATAGCGTGGTCTTCTCCCTACACTTCCTACAATCCAGGAGCCTTGTTTCTATCTCACTTAAAGCCCGGGCCAAATGTCACTTTCATGTACTGTCCCTCCTACGACGGCACATCCACAGGACAGGACTAGGGCCTATCTCTCTTTTTATCCATGGCACCCAGCAGGGTGTGTCCAACGCCGTTGCTGAATAATGAATAAAGGAACCAATCAATCAATCAATGAACAAAAATGAATGAATAAACTATGAAGATGGGTACAAACACATTTTCAAAATAAGAGAGAATTTGATTCATTCACTGTTTAGAAACTGGCAAAGTAAAAGCAAGTTTCAGGAAGACATTCTCTTTCTGGGGGGTAAGGAAGGATAATGCCGGTAGGGGGAGGAAATAAAGGAGGTTTACGGTGAAACTCACAGGGTGTGGGAAGTGGAAGCAGCCAGTCAAGGGAAAGAAAAGTGATATAGACTTGACAGAGAAAAGGTTGACTCCAGACCACAACCATTTTCTTCCTGCTTAGGACATGAAATTTATGCAAATTGACTGGCTGGAAAGATGGCCAGCACACGGATTAAATATAGAGTCTTCATCTAAATAAAAATATCCATAAGCTTCAAGCATGACCATGTCATGGGAAGTACTAAAGAAAATAGATTTTTTCATAGTGCTATTTTGATAGGATTTCTGATTTATTTTTGTAAGAAAAATTTATTGATAACTAATCATACATCCTCACAAGTATTTCCTGTCAGAAAAGCCCACGAGTCTATTGATGTTAAGAATGTCATTTCTGATCAGAGAAGAGAGATGTTATGCAAGGGGGCTCCATCAGATTAAAGAAATGGCCATGGTATTTTGAAGACCTATATGCTGGCTAAGGCTGTGAAATATGCACTAAGCAGAAATAACTGTTGCTGTTTTTATTTGTTTTTAACATAACTTATTTTAAGGAAAAGCTAAAATCAGTCAGTTTGAGATGCTGGGGATGTGAAAGAAATAAAAAAGTTAAGTAAAAAAAATGTTCTAGAGGCCGAAACCGGTTTGGCTCAGTGGATAGATCGTCAGCCTGTGGACTGAAGGGTCCCAGGTTCGATTCCAGTCAAGGGCATGTACCTTGATTGCAGGCACATCCCCAGGAGGGGATGTGCAAGAGGCAGCTGATCGATGATTTTCTTTCGTTGATGTTTCTAACTCTCTATCCCTCTCTCTTCCTCTCTGTAAAAAATCAATAAAATATATTTTAAAAATGTTCTAGAAATTCTACAAAACAAATGTTCAAAGAGTTCCTAAAAAATAATAACACATCTAGAGTTTCCAACACATATTGATATGCATTAAATCCTCCCCCAATAACTCTGTGAAATAATTATTTTCACTAAATAGATGAAGTAACTGAGATACAAAGTCAAGTGACTTTTCCAAGGTCTCACAGCTGGTAACAGGCTGAACTAAGGCCCAGAAAAAAATTCTTTCCCATTACCAGTGCCTCGATAGTATCAACCAGAAGAGTAAATATGTAAAGAAATCAGAAGAGAAATAAAACCAACCAGGAAACTAAACTGATGGGATTTAAGCAGTTTCCTAAAGAACTTTTATTTTCTTTTTCTTTCTTTTTAAACTATGATTTATTGAGTATCTACCTCCTCTGTTCTACATACTTTCTAAGGAACTTATATAGAAATTCATTTAAGCCTGGCCAATGTAGCTCAGTGATGGAGTGTCAACCTATGAACCAGGAGGCCATGGTTCCATTCCCAGTGAGGGCACATGCCTGGGTTGCAGTCTGGATACCCAGTGGGGGGCATATAGGAGCAACTGATCAATGAATCTTTCTCTCATCATTAATGTTTCTCTCCCTCTCTCTCCCTTTATGTTAACTATATAAAAAGATTTAAAAAGATTTTTTAAAATTCATTTCATCTCCCCAGTATCTCACAGCATTAAAATAGCCACTGGAATTTGAAGCTTATCTGGTGATGAAAAATGCAGAAATAATTGCATATGCTCTCAGTTTCCACATATGCATACACATGCCATGCACACACACACACTGTAGTAAATTGGTAAAATGCTCACCAGTCTTCACTCTTCCCTTTTCCCACATCCTTGCAATGTGACTTCAAAGCCCTTCCTATCAAGAGCTGAAGTCTATTTCCCTACCCTTTGACCTGGGGTAGCCTGTAGCTTAGCCTCCTTTGGTCAAAAGAAGACAATAGAAGCAATAATATGCCAACTCAAAGACTTTTGCTCAAGAGGCCTTGAACATTTCTGGGTCTCTCCAGGGGCCCTAGATTCTGTCATGTGAACAAACTCAAGTTACTCTGCTGGCATATGAGAGATCACATTGACCAGAGCTGAGGCACTAGACATGTGAGAGAATCCAGCCAAGAGAAGGAGAACTGTTCTGCAGCTAATCACAGATGAATGAGGCAACCAGCCTGGAACAGAAGAACCACCCAGCTGATCCCAGCCTAAATTATGACTTACAGAATCACCAGCCAAAGAGTCATTGCTTTAAGCCATTAAGTGTTATGATGGTTTATAACACACACAGATAATATATAAAATAAATATTATGAAAAAATATACTAAAATGTATAACTTCAGGTAATGGAATTGTACTTATTTGTTTCTTTCTGTACCTTTTGTACTTTCCATTTTATATTTCTTTAATAATTCTTGAAAACACTAAATTTAATAAAATACAAGTCCTTGCAAGTTTCTAATTCTTCAAATAGCAACTAATCCACAGTTAGACCTACTTAACTGAGATGCTAAAAACAAGCTGAAGCCAAATTACTTAGTAAGACCATCTTTAATATTTATCATCCAGTTCAGTAAATATGATATAAGAAGGACTTGAGGAAAGAACACTTTGTAAAGTAGAATGATACACAAACTTAATTACAAAATTTCATCTGACTTATATCCTACATTGAGGCCAAATGTGATATAACAAAAAAAAGGTACTTTTATTTTGTTCTTAATAATCATTACTCATTACTAAGAAATATTGTTTCAGTAAAATGAATAGATTATTTTTCTATTGATTTTAGAGAGAGGTGGTGGGGAGGGAGGAAGGGAAGGAGGGAAGGAAGGAGGGGAAAGGAGAGAAAGAGAGACAGAGAGAGAGATGGCTGTGAGAGAGAATCACCAATCAGTTGCCTCCTGTATGCTGGGGATCGTACCCACAATATGGGTATTTTATGCTCAGGTTTGGGGTTGTACTCATTTAAAATAACACACACACACACACACACACACACACACACACACACACGTCTCATTCATTGTCTTTTTGAAACTCATTGATATACTGTCCTTCCCATCAAACTAGCCACCTCTACAGGGCAATACCAATAATAAAAACTAATTGTAGACGTAAAAGAGTTTTCTCTCCACTGATACCATATTGCCTTCAATCAGGGTGGGCTTAAAAATTAAATGGGCCCTTATTACAAAGCTCTCTAACTTTCCTAAGATTCTAACCAAT